CTAACCTTTCGATAAAACGAACTAAAGCATTCATTATATTTTGTAGTACTTGTGCCTTGCTTGCTATTAGGACAGTATAATCAGCGTACCTGATGTTGTCTATGCTGGCTCCGTTGATCTTGATTCCACCTTGAATCTTGTCCAATACTTTTCTAAATATATATTCCGAATACACATTAAATAATTCAGGTGATAAGACGCAACCTTGTCGCACTCCTCGTCGAATTCGTATATCTTCAGATGTTGTGTGCTCTATTTCAATTGTTGCAGTTTGGTGCCAATATAGTTCTAGGAGATAATTCCTATAGGAGATGATTCGTAAGTCTTTTTTGTCAATCTTGTTGATTTTTAGCTCATTTAAAATTGAAATATTGGTTCTGTGGTCGGTCCACGGAATTCGTAGCATTCTTCTCCAACAGAACATTTTAGTGGCGTCTATCTTTCTTCTTTCCGATTGTCGTAGGGTAACTGACAAATGTCAGTTATGACCACACAATTGTTGGTCGATTTTTGTGTAAGTGCAAGAAAAATAATTTTTATTGACATGTTTAGTATTAGAGCTAGCGTCGTTCTTATTTTTGTTGTGAATGTGAATTGCCATAATTTAAGGAATTTAATTCTGTTGCTAATTGATACGTGTTTAAGTTTTACTCCAGTCGTCAGAGACGAAAATGCAACTGAACTTCTAAAAATCAATTACTATTAAACTGGGAATAAGCCACAATTAAAGATAAAATTACGTTTATTGACGTTTCAATTTCCACTTCGGAAATCGTTCTCAAAATACAAACAGTAAATTAAACAAATTTTGTTTTTTGTTACATAGTGAAAAATTCTTCTAATAATTTAATTTTATCTGACTCATTTATATTGACTATTCAGACATACATTATGCATTTTAAAGTAGACGACTTTAAAATGATATTGCCGATATTGTTGAGTTGCGCTCCTGGGACGACTTTACTTATAAGATAATTTATTCGATTACATGAAATCAACTTTAACTCTAGAATATCCGTCAGAAAAAAAAATCATAGCATGTAATTCGTCTTTAAAAAAAAATACATGACATGATGACAGTTAAATTCTCCTGTTAGTGATTCCATAGTAAATTATGAGGGAAAAACCAGGAAAAAAACCTCATAATACTATCCCGACATTGTAAGTATTTGTTCGTGAATTTAGTTTACCTTCAACAAACATCAAAATTCTGATTTTATACGTTACGTTATTTAAAAAACATAAATGATGTATCCTTTATATGTTACTGACTTACTAATACTGGTATTTTCTTATTAATAACTTCCTCTTTCAATATTGGTAACCAGATCCTACTACATTCTGCCAAGGAATTTTTAACAAAAGATCCAAGAAAGTCTTTGGAAAACAAAATATATAGAACTTTATTCAAGTTTAAAGATGTTTTAACAAGTTATCAGAGAGGATTAATTACACCTAATTACAGTAAGACTCCTCATTTTTATGGAGTACCGAACATTCATAAAACGAATATACCACTTAGACCCATTTGTAGTACCATGGATTCTCCTTGTAGTGAACTATCAAAATTTTTATTAAATATTTTAAAACCATTTACAAATAAAAATGACACATTCATAAAAAATACACAACATTTTTTAAATAAATTATCAAATATTGAATTTAATTCAAAGCTTACTTTGGTAAGTTTTGACATAACTAGTTTATTTACAAATGTGCCATTAAATAAGACTTTAAGTATAGTCAAGACAAAATTAGAGAGTGATGATTCATTGGCAACTAGAACAAGACTAAACATATCGGCTATAATGGAGTTATTAACATTATGTACTGATAATACATATTTTCAACTAAATAATGAATTCTATAAACAAAATTTTGGTCTAGCAATGGGCTCAGTTTATCTCCATTCTTAGCCGATATATTTATGGAAGATTTTAAAACAAATAGCATTTCTAAACAAAATTTCAAACCCACAGTATGGTGGAGGTATGTAGATGATGTATTCTCAATATGGCCTCATGGATCAGAGTTGTTGGAGACATTCCTAAACGATATGAGACTCAGGTGTATGGAAAACTAACACACACCAATAAATATTTAACTTTCAAATCAAATCACAATATTAATGTAAAAAAGGAAATAATTAAATCCTTATACGATAGAGCCAAAATTACTTGTTCTAACGAAAATTCGTTCTTGGAGGAGAAACATTTGTTAACATCTGTTTTATTAAAAAATGATTATCCTTTATCGTTTATAAATAAGGAATTTTCAACAATCGATCGAATAGAACACAACAACTTAGAACGAGATCCTACAGCATACACAAGGAATAATATGAGGAAAATAACAATACCGTACATAAAAGGACTATCAGAAAAACTTAAAAGGATAGGAAATAAATTCAACATTTCAACAACATTCAAAACAACAAACACGTTGAGATCTATTTTGTCCAAAACCAAACCTAACAATGAACAAGAAAGGACAAAGAATTGCATTTATAAAATACCTTGTGAATGCGATCAGTTTTATTTAGGTGAATCATCAAGGCCATTAAATGTTAGAATAAGTAAACATCAATCTTATATTAAAAATAGAGAATTTGATAGATCTCAAATCTGTAAACACGCATGGGATAATGAACATAGGGTTCAATATAATAATTCAAATGTAGTCCTAAAAGAAACGGATGGTAAAAAAAGAAAAATCAAAGAAGCGGCTCTAATTATGCTAAATGAGGCCAATTATGTCGCAAGTTCCTCGGCAGAATGTAGTAGGATCTGGTTACCAATATTAAAAGAGGAAGTTATTAATAAGAAAATACCAGTATTAGTAAGTCAGTAACATATAGAGGATACATCATTTATGTTTTTTAACCAACGTAACATATAAAATCAGAATTTTAATTTTTGTTGAAGGTAAACTAAATTCACGAACAAATACTTACAATGTCGGGATAGTATTGTGAGGTTTTTTTTCCTGGTTTTCCCTCATAATTTACTATGGAATCACTAACAGGGGAATTTCACTGTCATCATGTCATGTGTTTGTCTTTTTAAAGACGAATTACATGCTATGATTTTTTCTGACGGATATTTTCAAGTTAAAGTTGATTTCATGTAATCGAATGAACTATATTATAAGTAAAGTCGTCCCAGGAGCGCAACTCAACAATATTGGCAATATCATTTTAAAGTCGTCTACTTTAAAATGCATAATGTATGTCTGAATTGTCAATATAAATGAGTCAGATAAAATTAAATTATTAGAAGAATTTTTCACTATGTAACAAAAAACAAAATTTGTTTAATTTACTGTTTGTATTTTGAGAACGATTTCCGAAGTGGAAATTGAAATGTCAATAAACGTATTTTTATCTTTAATTGTGGCTTATTCCCAGTTTAATAGTAATTAATTTAAAATGCCACAAGAAAATAGCTTCAGAACAATATTCTAAAAATCATACGAACAAGCTGAATTTTGCCGAGAATGTCAATTTTAGGATGAAAAAAAAAAAGATGCATAGAAGTTTAGCACTTTTACTTTTGAGCTTTCTCCTAGAACCTCCCTCGTAGAAAAGGAAAAACGGTAAAAAATCGAAAAAAAATGTAGCTTAGATAATTTTAAACAAAAATAATTATGAGCACTTTTTGTGTAGAATGAACCGTTCTCTCAAAAACAATACTTGAAGCGATCGGCAATTTTGACTGTCAGTTACGTGCGCGAAATCAATGTTCAATAAAATTTGTATTAGCTCGACGGTAAAAACTCAATATCTTTTGATCCGAATATCCTATCGAGAAAAATAAAAATGCGTTTTGAAGATAAAGAGAGCAGCTTTTGTATGCAATTTTTGTATTCTGCTCCAAATAAACTGGGTTTTTAAAAAGGCGTTATATAAATTTTTAAGTTTCATTTTGCGCGATTTTTACCAATTTTTATGATTCTCGTAAGATCAATACAATTTATCTCTTTTATTAACCGGCCACTGTGGAGTTTCAATAACTAGAGCCTAATGTTTAAAACTTGTAATATGAAATTTTAGTTTTTAGTTTTGGCAACAAATATATTACAAACGATCTAAAACATTTAAAACTGCTCTTTTTTAATTACACTAGTACGTTTTTTAAAACTATCCGTCTTCTGCTACAAATTACCTTCAAAAAAATCTTCTTCGAGGCATTTCGGGTGACATGCGTTCGTTTGTAATGTAAAAGTTTAAATTCAGCGTTTTTAGGTATATTTCAAATGCCTCATATTTGTTTCAACAACAAAAAATATAAATTTCATGTTATAGGGTTTGAAGATTGGTTTCTAAAAATCTAAATTTTACTATGACCATCCAACTAAAGTAATAAATTTTATTGATCTCACGAAAATTGTAAAAACTGGCAAAAATCGGGTAACGTTTATTTATTGAACAGATTTAGGTATAGAAACTGGACACTTGCCTCAGAATACAAAAATTGTAAAAGAAATCTGCACTCTTCATCTTTGAAACGCATTTTGATTTTTGTCGATCGGACACTCTGATCAAAAGATATCGAATTTTTACCGTCGACTTGATACACGTTTTATTTAACATTGATTTCGCGCGCGTAACTGACATTCAAAATCGCCGGTCGCTTAAGCGTTGTTTTTGAGAGAACGGTTCATTTTACGGAAAAAGTGTTAGGTAACTAATATTTTTGTTAAGAATTTTCTCGCCAACATTTTTTATTAGAAATGTTTTTTTCTACGGCGTACAGGTACTTGTTAAATCGATTTTTTTATTTTTTACCCCTATGCGAGGGGGTTTTAAAGGAAAGCCCAAGGGTAAAAGTATAAACTTTTTTGCATCTTTTTTGGAGTCCCAAAATTGATATTCTTAGCAAAATTAGCTTGATCATGTGATTTTTAGGGGTCAAATCTCTGACAACTGGACTCTTTGTAATAAAATCCATATTCCTACATTACAGCTGAGTGATTTTTAAACAAAAATTTTTATGTTTCAGGCAAAGGTTTTGAATATTGGACATCTGGTACAAGATTAATAGACGGAAATAAGTGGGTATGGTTTCCATATGGAGATTTAATAGATTACACAAAATGGTCAAGCGGTCAACCTAGCGATCCAAATGGAGAAAAATGTTTACAAGTGTGGAAAGTTGATGAAAATTGGAAGCTACAATGGAATGACAGACCATGCGACGTTCGTTTTCATTTCATTTGCGAAAGATACGACTCTCAAAATGAGGGAAGACTGCCGTCAAGGTTGTAATATTCTTTAAAATAATAAAGATTATTATTATCAATAAATTTTACTATTTATTTCAAGTTTTCTAACTGAAAATGCCAATACCACTTCTCCTATTTGCCACCGTAATAGCCCATTTCAATATTTTTTTTTACTATTATTACAAGTTTTTTTTTTGGTATTATGTTAAAGTGGCTTTGGTAATGGGTACAATAATATAAAAGTACTTCTATTGGGTGTTAAGATATGAGCACTCATATACTCATTAACTGATAAAAAATGGAGTAATAATCGTTAAAACAATTGAAAACATAAGTTAGAATTATTTAACAATTTAACATTAAAAATACAGGGTGATTGATTAGTGTGAGGAAGCTCAGTAGATCTGTTACAGTAAAAATTACAAAAAAAGTTATTAACAGAAATTGTAGGCAGCTTCAAACTTCACATTTTTAAATTAGTTACAATCTTACAGGGTGTTCCATAAGATGGTGGCAGATCAAACGTATATTTTTTTAAATAGAGCACCCTGTATTTTATTTTAAATTTAAAATCTACTTCACTTTCACATCACAACAATGTAAAGTTTTATTATGTTATACTGGATATTTAAAAAGTTATAACCAATATTGCCTGAAAATCGTATCAAGTTTAACTCCCTGTATAATTAAAAAGGAGTATCGGAACATTGATCTATTGCAACCATAGTTTTTTAATAATTGTTAAAAGTTATAAAACATATTCATTTTTATAATATTCGTTAAATCAAATACAGAGTAAGTCAAAATGCAAGTACATTATTTTCTTGGTAATTTTAAATAGAACGCCCTGTATTTTATATCACTATCGAAAAGTACTAATATCGTACTTTTTTATAAAGTACTCCCTATACCTAAAATTATCAGTTTTCTAGATATTTTTATTTTTCCATCAAAGTATTAATTTGGTAGATATTTTAACATTTAACAATAAATATAGTAAGTTGACCATAATTGTTTTGTCAGAGAAACTGACAGTTTGACATTAGTGTTTATTAATTCAGTAACGAAATAAAGACAAATAAAAGAAAACTTCAAATAAAATACATAGAAACAACACATACAAAAATAAAAAACATCAGTAATTTTAACTTTTTTTACTCAAGTAAGGTGTTCAAAATGACCTCCCAAAACATCTATGCATACTTGAAAGCGGTCATTGAAAGAGTTTCTTACATCACTAAGCATTTGTAACGAAATATTTGGAAATACAATTCGGATTCAACTTTTCATATCATCCCTTGTTGTTGGAATCATAAATTGGTCATTTTATTGAATTCTGGTGACCTTGGGGGCCACCTTACCGGTCCATCTCTTCCGATCCATCTTTCACCAAACTGATCATTAAGTTTACCACGTACTAATTTTTTTACATTTTTTCACGTATAGTAAGTGGAACCTCGTCTAACAATATCGATAACTGATTTACGACAAAATCTAAATAAATCTCATCATTTAAGTTATCTTCAAAAAAATGTGGTTCTACTACATGGTTTCCGACGATATCTCCCCACACATTTAGAGCATCTTGTTTGACTATGTGTTACTATGTGGTATGGATTACTTGTTGAATAGTATGAAAGTTATGCCTATTAACAGAACCGTTTCGATGGACTGTAGCTTCATCTCCAAATAGGACATAATCAAGAAAATCTCTCCGCTCATTAATTTTTTCTAAGGCCTATTCACAAAATACTATTTGTTTCTGAAAATCATCATTATTTAATTCTTGATAATTTTGAATGTGATAAGGGTGCACTTTGTTTTTAGATAGAATGTTTTGAACAGAGTAGTAACTAAGTTCTTGTTCATTGAAAATACTCCTTATACTTGTGTGTGGGTTTTCTGTAACTACCATCAACACACTCATTTCGTTTTCCTGTTTTTCATAATTCACTGAACCAGTGCGGTTAAATCCATCTTTCAATTTTTCAAATGTATCGGTTGCCGCCTATCTGGAAACCGTTCTTGATCAATTCTGGCTGATAGTAATGAATTTTTATTGCATTCCCCCAACATCCAGATCCTGTCTACTATTCTACCATTCATCAGTAGTAAAATTCATTATTGCTCATTTAAATTTAATTAATTACTGAATTACCAAATAATAATTGTTGCTAATTTACAGTGTACTCCAATACTAAATTAATAAATAATAATGTCAAACTGTCAGTTTCTGACAAAACAATCATGGCCAACTCACAATAATTATTGGTAAACGTTAAAATATCTACCAATGGATACTTAAAGGGAAAAATAAAAATATCTAGAAAAATGATAACTTTAGGTATAGGGAGTACTTTATAATATTTGAAGTACGATATTATTACATTTCGATAGTTATATAAAATAAAGGGTGTTCTATTTAAAATTACCAAGAAAATAATGTACTTGCATTTTGACTTACCCTGTATTTGAATTAACGGATATGTTGAAAACGAATAGGTTTTATAATTTTTAACAATTATTAAAAAACTATGGTTGCAATAGATCAATGTTCCTATACTGCTTTTTAATTATACAGGGAGTTAAACTTTTCAGGTAATATTGATTACAACTTTTTAAATACCCGGTATCTTCTTCTTGTAGTGCCTATCCGTTTCGGATGTTGGCGACCATCATGGCAATCTGCACTTTGCAAGATTTGTGGTTGTTGTGTTGAACCACGTTCGTAGATTTTTCAGTCAGGAAATCCTTCGCCTTCCTGGTCCCCGTTTTCCTTCTACTTTTCCCTGAAAGATTAGTTGCAGCAGTCCATATCTTTCGCTGTTTCTCATGATGTGACCGAGGTATTCGATTTTGGCTGTTTTTATTGTGGTTAACAGCTCTTTTTCTTTTTTCATTCTCAACAGAACACCATCATTAGTAACGTGGTCGGTATACGATATCTCCAGGATGCGACGATAAAGCCACATTTCAAAAGTCTCAATTTTCTTGCAAGTGGCGTCTGTGAGAGTCCATGACTCAACTTCGTACAACAGTATAGGAAAGATGTAAGATCGTAGTACTTACTAAGAACTTAGCCATTTTTTGAAATGCAGATCTTGCTTTCTCTATTCTACATTTGATTTCTATGGAATGGTCCCAATTTTCATTGACGTTCGTACCAAGGTATGTTTTTACTCTTTCTATTTGTTGACCGTTTACACTGATTTGTCCAAATTGCTGTTTCCTTCTTAGAGATCATCATGCATTTTGTTTTCTTAGTGTTTAGTGAAAGTCCGTATCTCTGACTGACCTCTGTGATTCTGTTCATTAACTCCTGGAGGGTTTCACAGCTGTCAGTTAATAATACCGTGTCGTCCGCGTATCTAATGTTATTGATTGATTCTCCGTTGATTCGAATTCCATCTTCAACGTCACCCACTACTTCTTGAAAGACTTCCTCAGAGTATATGTTAAACAGCAGTGGTGATAGTATATATACATCCCTGACGGACGCCACGTTTGATTTTGATATCGTCGGATTCTCCTGCCTCTGTCTGGATAGATGATGTTTAATTCCAGTACAGATTGCTGACAATTCTTAAATCACAGGTGTTTATTCCAATATTGGTTAATATCTCCATCAGCTTGTCGTGCTTTACTGTACGCTTTATAGTAGTCAATGAAGCACGCATAAATGTCGCAGTTCACAGATTTATTATATTATACCTAGTATAATATAATAAATCTTTACATTGTTGTGATGTGGAAGTAAAGCAGATTTCAAATTTAAAATAAAATACAGGGTGTTTCGTTTAAAAAATCATAAATTTGGTCTGTCACCATCTTATGGAACACCCTGTAAGATTGTAACTAATTTTAAAAATGTGGAGTTTAAAGCTGCCTACAATTTTTGTCAATAACCTTTTTTTGTAATTTTTACTATAACAGATCTACTGAGCTTCCTCACACTAATCAATCAACCTGTATTAACAAAAACACTCTCCTTCTTCTGGTTGTATTAGTCATTAGGCCACCGCTTGTCCTATCTTAAGGCTGCAGTCGTAATTTTAATATTGAAATGTTTTCCTATTCACTTATGTAACATATTGGTTCCATTTCTGTCGTTCGGTCTTCCTCATCGTACAATAATCTGTAATTTGGTTACTTATTTAGTATTATAGTTCTTAATATCTTCCCAGTAGTTGATCTCAACCTCAAACGTGATATCCTTAGTTCTCCAGTTGACATCGCTAAGACATGATTGCTACTTTCCTAATATCATTTTTACGGTTTCCGTAGCTCGGTATTTCTTCTTCTTCTTCCTATTTATAAGCAACTCTGCTTGTTCATTGACAGATTAATACCTCTATGGAAAGTTTTCACTTCATCTTTGCGCAGTCGTCCGATAGCCGATTGGTGACTTGGTGCCCATGTCTTGCTATTTTGACGACACGGGTCTCCTCCATTCTGCTTATGTAATTATTCCATTCTTTTTTTGTGTCCATTCATTTATACACTGTACGATACATTTTCTTCTAATGTCTTCATTTCTATTTTGATCTGTCAGCGTATTTCCTGTAATTCTTCTCAGTACTCTCATCTCTGCCGTTTCCAATAGCCTTTGCGTTGTGGCTGTGTCAGGTCTTATTTCTGAGGCATGTTATTATTAGTCTTACACTAACAACAGATTAAAATAACTTCTTATTAAACAATATTTTTTACAAAAAATTTCCGTATTGAAAATCGGAACATTAAAACAAATTAAAAATGTAATTTTCTGCAGGACCAGATGATATTCTACCAGTATTCATAAAAAACTTACATTCGGAGCCAAATTAATTCTGTTAGATTTATTTAATACCTGCTTCTTAAAGCATGAATTCCCAGATCTTTGGTCTCAAGCAATAATCATTCCCATTGTTAAGCCTAACAAACCAAAAGACAATCCTACCTCTTACCGACCCATCTCTCTTACAAGTTGCATGTGTAAGATCTTAGAAAAAATTTTAAACCTCCGTCTTATATGGTACTTAGAAAATAATAACTTTCTTAGTCCCTTCCAAAGTGGTTTTCGAAGAGGCAGGTCCACA